AGTAATTCAATCTCTATCTTGGCTTGGCTCGACAAAAGCCGAGATCTCTACCAGAATTGAGGTGAGTTGCCATTCTAGTCATATCGTAGTAAGTGGGTAATCAAGGAGATTATGTGCTTTTTGTTACAACTTGCCAGTAGAGTTGTGTTTATTAGTTAAAAACACTTGGAGTTGTTGTTGTGTTACCTCATCAGTCAGCCCTAACGATTATCTATTTGTGAAATGTCTTCAAAACATAAACCGGCATACACCACAAGATACAATTCAAAGGCCACGCATGGCTAACAGAAAAACAGCATCTTTGCTTAATTGGCAAAGAAGAAAGCATATATTCCATCTACGGCACAGAAAACGGCATGCCATGCACCCTCTCTCCTCACGGGACAAGGCCAAAGGTATGGAACGACTGAGCTAGCTAGCTTTACAAGGTTCTCGCTCATCCTCTCTGCTTTTCTTTCCTAGTTAAATGGAGGCCTGAAGCCCTCCATGGTTTCCCTTTGTTTGGATTTGTGGGTTCCATATATCTAGGATTCTTTTAGTGACCTATGCATGCACGGAGAGACAATCTTCTATTCTACTAAAGTGGAAGAGACTAGAGTTGAACTTTGTTAAATTCGCATTCTTGGCAGCACCATTATCTGTCCCCCATGTACCTCTCGTTATTTCTCTAAATTATAATTTCTCGGTTCATAAATATAAGATGTTTTTGGATATTTCAATATGAACTACATACAGACTGAAATGACTGAACAAACACGCTAAAACATGTCTATATACATCCAATTAAGAAAAAAGTTAAAACATCTTATATTTGTGAAATGGAGGGAGTAGAACTTAAAATACTCTTAAAACTTCACGTCATAGGCCTAAAATACGTGACGCACTTAGGAGTTATATTCTGATTCTTTGCAGCACCACTATCTGTTCCCCATGTACGTACTACAAGTCTACAAGCCATAGGCCGCAAATAAACGTGATTCGGTAGTCAAGTAGACCTAGCATGTGTAGTTTAGGTTCATGCATCTATTTGATCAGGAAATCAAGAACTGTAACATTCCAAAAAAAAGGGAAATCGAGGATTAAAATCATACAATGACTATATAAATTCTCTTATTCGTAATCAATATAAAGCACCATCCTCCCTTAAAAACAAATGAAGAATTAAAAGGGGGAACATATTTGGCTTGGGCAATCAACACAAATGAGTGTGACAGATATATGTCCTTGATTTATCTGGTGTCTAAACTAAAAATGATCACACGGGTACATCAGAAAAGGGCTGATAATAATGGGTTCAGATAAAGGGAAAGATGCATGGTTGCTCCGATCAGCTCCGAGGCAATGGTGGCTTTAGTGATCGGTTACTTTTTTGTTGGGAATGTTGTGATGTCTAGTTTTCCAACTAACAAGTCCCGGGGCTCAATGCAAACACATGCCTTCCAAATTCCCATATAATCTGGAAGCTATCATTTAGACATGATGATTGGTGGTGTTTGGGGGCATACACTCCTTTCCCATGCATCATTATCTATGAATGCATAGCTTGGCCCGTTGATGATTTGATGCACCGATGATATAAAAGTACTCATTAAAGTATGACTCCTACTCACAATTATGTTTCTTAATTTGATACGCTACTCTTGGACATGCATGTTAGTAGTGCATGTAGTTTTTTTTAGTGGAGTAGTGCCCGTATATTGTACGCACTATAGGATTTCTTTTACTTGTTCGCACTACAAGATTTGTGGTTATTTCTTTCCTGACTTGTTGTGATTCCACATAGAAGTTTTTAGAATATGGAGTATAAAAGTTGGGGCGGCTTTCAGAATTGAGTCATTTCTCAAGCAAGCGATAGCGCTTGGACATATTGCAGTTGCAACTAGACCAAATCATCCCTGACGGTCCCTTGTCAAGCATTAGCCACTTTAGCAGAGCAATATGATTGAAGAACATATTTGTTTGGAATTTTCATGGACATCAAGCAAACATTCTCAATGCCGGCTTAACATTATCTATATTGATACCGTGTGACTTACATGGCTGAGTATCCCACCAAGGAATCCTTGCGACCAGGTTGAACCCTTTGACAACCAAGTAGAGTTACTTCAAAGATAATCTCCTTAATCCACAAAAAAAGATAATCTCCGTAAGCAATTACGTCCTAATTGGAGTGGCATTTCTACTAGTTGTTATCTCGGTTTGGCTTTTCAGAAATGACACGGTCTTTGACAAGAGAAAAATCGTAGGTTGTGTACTCATATACACATTAGCTATCAAATAGATGGGAGTTGGCCACTGCAATCTGCGCGCAACTGGAAAGGGTGACCATGGAAGTTGTTTGCCTAGCTAGCCTGGATAGATGTCGGTCTAATCTCCGTACCAAAGCTCCTCGACCTAAGTTGTTTTCCTTGTCCCGCTAAAAAAAATGTTTTCCTTGTCTTGGGACTACTTTTATTTTAGGCTTGGCTTTAGTTTCATTAGCCATGTGCATCCTAATTATGTAAAGGTCAGGAATTTTAACTCGTGCGTGGTTGTATGTGTATTGGCTCGATGCAACGGTAAGGATAAGTAAAGTTCCATATATTCCAGAAAAAATGGTTGCATTACACCACCAAGGAAATATAGTTCCACCGGTTAGATAAGATACAAGATTAATGATACAACTAGCTAATCAATGTGGATTATTGTATGTTGGTACGTACCAAAATGCAAGTTAACAATGTGTTCGAAAGCCTATTGTCTCCAGATGATGTGGGAGCTATTTAGATTTTCAGACTGCAATCATCATCTTTAAAGCTTAAAAATAAAAGTAGCAATCATAATTTGTATGTATACAAATGAGCCATGAACTTCAAAACAAGATGGATATATCATCGGTTGTACTTAATTAAATAGCATCTCAGCCAACCATAATACTGTCTGGAAAACACTCTTTTGACAAGTATGACACCCACAAGCAGATGGTATTAATTTAGTGATGCTTTAGCCAGTCAATAGCTTATTACACGCGGCATGTACCCCCCTTGCAAAATCTCCATGCATCAAAGGAGCTGGCCTGCTATAATTAGTTAATACTTTGAGAGAAGCTTAGAGATGACAAAATTCGTTTGTTGAATGGACACCTCTCTCTCAGTCTCATCTTTAGAAAAGAGGCGGGCGTCAGGACAGCAGCGAGGCTTCCAGTGGTTGGCGGTGGCTTTTCCTCTCCCTGGAGAATATCATCACCCGTCCATGAGCTTTCCACGAGTAGAGAGAGAGAGAGAGAGAAGAAAGATAAAGAAACAAAGCCACTAAAGCAGAGAGAGAGGGAGAGAGAGAGAGAGAGAGAGAGAGAGAGAGAGAGAGAGAGAGAGAGCATATCGAGAAAGAAGACAGCCAAGGGAAGTACCACCACCACTACCGCGTCTACTACCACGACTATATACCCTCCCGAGCCTCGTTCTGCGTGCGGGAGCGAACCCTATTCCTTGTTCTTGAATCTCGTCCAAATCTGTAGCAGAGATTGATCAGAGAGGGAAAAAGATCTCTAGAGAGAGAAGGATTTAAGAGGGGCGGCCGAGGGGGGAGAATAGAATGTTCCCGGCTGCTGCAGCTGCTTCCTCCAAGAAGCCCGACGTGAGCCCGTCGTCAGTTCACGATCGGGCCGCCGCTGCCGCGTGCGACTCCGGCCTCGTCCTCACCACCGACCCCAAGCCCCGGCTCCGGTGGACGGTCGAGCTCCACGACCGTTTCGTCGATGCCGTCGCGCAGCTCGGAGGCCCGGACAGTGAGGAGATCGACCCATTCATGCTTGTTTCAGTCCAGGTTTGGATAATTTTTGGGGTTGTTAGTGACTTGTCGATTTTGCTTCATGACAGAGGCAACTCCGAAGACTATTATGAGGGTTATGGGAGTCAAGGGCCTCACGCTTTACCATCTCAAGAGTCATCTTCAGGTGCGTGTGCATGGGCAGAATTAGGTTTTTGTTTCTCTCTCTCTCTCTCTCTCTCTCTCTCTCTCTCTCTCTCTCTAGATCTCATATGTGTTTTGGTTTCTGGTTTTATTGTTCTCAGAAATTCAGGCTAGGGAAGCAGCACAAGGAGTTCGGTGATCACTCGGTCAAGGATGGTAAATCATAAGATCTACTTATTAAAATTGATGTGCATGGATCATGTTTCTGTTCTACATATCATGGTTCAGTTATCTACTAGATCTCACATATATGTTTGCATTCCCTCACTTAAGTCATAGTTAAACCTAGCTTATTCATCTGGAAATATGTTACATGCATGCGTGTTAGTGTCTTTCCGAAGCAACCTGTTATGCCTAGGTGCTTAACCTAGCTGCCAAGTTTACTCTCTCTTTTGGCAATCTCTCTTTTTTGGTCAAAAAGGCAAAGTAGTACTCTATCTCTTGTTCATATCATCGCCTTAATAAACTACACCTTCAAATTACCTGCAGCTATGGAGATGCAACGGAATGCAGCCTCTTCGTCTTCGGGTATGATGGGAAGAAGCATGAACGAGTAAGCTTCACAACATCATATACAGATTATACAGTGCATTTCCAAAAGACTGCTAGCTAACGTTCATTTGGTGTCGTCAAATAACCACCACAGCCGCAGCACGCACATGAACGAGTCACTAAGGATGCAGATGGAGGTCCAAAGAAGGCTCCATGAGCAGCTGGAGGTATAAATTAATTACATTTTGGCATCTAAAATTTTGGGAAGTTTACACATACATATATATACTGATATACATGGTACAACTATGATCTGTTCCTGGCCCTACATCAACCACAAACATGCATGTTTCTTCTGTACTTTGCATGCAATGCATGCAAGAACGTTCCGAGGAAACTTACATTAATCTTGCCGAGTTGCTGGCAGCTGATATGGCAATGATGCTTGTCCTTTACACATGCATGTTGGTCCATGTGAACCTCCATGCTTGCTTGGTTGCAAGAATATTTCATGGGAAGTTTACTACTTTACTTGGCACACGTCTTTTTGGTAGCACTCATGAGCTTGGTACATATGCATTTTAACCTTTTTTAAGGCAGAAGAAATTATCACTTTGCATTGCCATGACGCCAACATTATGTGGCATCCCCATGCAGGTGCATTTTCACTTTCAAGGCTGTGATCACTTTGCAATGATGCCAATATGCCATGTGTTGTGTATGTGCAGGTGCAGAAGCACCTCCAGATGAGAGTGGAGGCCCAGGGGAAGTACATGCAGTCCATCCTGGAGAAAGCCTACCAAACCCTCGCGTCCAGCGATTGCGCCACGTGGCCTGCTGCCGCCGGGTACAGATCTCTAGGTGGCAGCCAGGCGCCGGCCCTCGACCTCGGCGGCTCCATGAGCTTCCAGGACCTCACCCTGTATGGAGGGTCGTCGAGCCATCTGGATCTGCAGCAGCACATGGAGATGAGGCCGACCATGGCCATGGACAGCTTCTTGGCGTTCAACGAGAGCTGCATTGGATCAGCAACAGTCAGGAGCTGCTCCACCGGGAAGAGCCCGATGATGTGGGGCAACGGCGATGATGAGCAGGCCAAGAGTGGTGGCAGCGCCGATGAGCTTCTCCAGATGGCGCCGTCGTGCATGATGGAGGCGGGTGGCGGCAGCGGCGGCTCAATGGATCCGATCATGTCATTGTCCGGCGACTCCTTGGGCAGTAAGGGCTTTGACGGCCCAATCATCAGCTCAAAGCTTGAGATGAGGTCATCTCCACAGCAAGTAGGAAGTGAGAGGAACTTGTCCTACGGGTAATTCAAGATCTTAAATAATGTGTTTTTTGTTCTTCTTTGGAAACACAATTAAGAGGTAATTAGTTACGTTAATGTGCTGTTGTCATGAAACAAGCTTAATTGGCTCTTTTGCTAAGATCACTAAATAAGCATGGGCTGAGGTGTAGCTAAGAGTTCAGAGAGAGGGGTCATCATATGCTGATGATGCCCAATGGTTTTCTTTTTTGAGGATATAGCGGGTAACAAAATTGTATTTTAACATATTGGCGTTGGTTTTAAGGTTTGTACATTTTGGTGTAGCTGTGAAAGCATGCAGCTGGTGTGAAACATGCTTCTATTATAATTCTTGTTCGGTGCATGTATTAACAATAATAATAGAGGAACAACACTCTGAGATTTATTGATGTCACGCTGTTTAGTTATGCATGTGATAATGTGTTCTCTCGTGTTATGTTTGAGTCAATTAAGTTGTGATTAAAGGCCATGTTGCATGTCTTTTTTTCCCCTGGACCGGTTGTTTCTTCTAGTTAGCTTGCACATATTAATTTTGATTTTCAATCTTAGTATATTTCTTTTGAGGAAATTAAGAAACCTTAGTATATATTTTCTCCATCCTTTTGATGGGACACTATGTTTTTTCATATTTGTCCTGAATTACGAGTCGCGATTAGTCTTCCGAGAGGATTTTCTTGATCACTTTCAACTCTACCCATATGGATCGCTTCATAAACACTTCGGATACCTGCCCCTTGATTTGCATGACATGGATTCATTGGTTTGGTTCACCCAATCGATAGATTAATTAACATAATTATTGGTGCAATATTTATTTTTTAAGAAGGGAATTACACACTATAAAAGGAAACGGATGGAGTAGTATGCATCACATTATTAATTTCTTACATGGTTGCGGTCGCACAGGAATGGAGGTTTTAAAAAAGGGGCTGTAAATATAAGTCAACAAGAAATCGTAGCCTTCCATCTACTTATGGGTTTTTCCTTATGTTTTGTGCTAAAAACCCTCAACTCCATCACATTCTCATCATCAAGTCCCTTCTATTTTTCAAAATGCATCATAGTTCTATGATTTTAGTCATGCCGTCAATTTAACTTTCCAAAACAAAGGATGCTCTATTTATATCGGTAGGTCAACTACATCGGACTTCATGAAAGTCTAAAGTCGCAAAAAAAAAGTGTTCGGTTGGTTGCACGTTTCTAAACCAATAGCAGATGTCATTTCAAAATTACTCAACTATCAGATTTTTCCATTACATATATAATCAGCGTTCATGACTAAGAGTTTGAATAAGTTAGAACTTTGCATCAAGATTCATGCCCTCTCAATACAGAAATTTATGTTCATTGCCAAACAAAACAACATTTGAACTTATTTGCAAAAAAAAACATTTGAACTAGAAACTTTGCAGGGTCAACAATACACATGTATTACAGTGTGCATAAATTGTTTTAGACTTTTTGGTGCAACATCTATACCACTATATAGTGTACTAGTAAGATACACATGCATTCAAACTTACATGATGAAAATACGATTGAATATTGACATATCACATTATAACGGAAGCATCTAAATTTTGAGTCGCATACACATGCAGTATGAGATGTACATTTACTTTTCATAGTTCATGCCACTGAAAAATAATTCTAAATCATTCTTTGAAGATACCGTAAAACCTCGAACAATAAGTAAATAAATTAAAAGTGAATTGTTTTTTTAGAGGCATGTGTACATTGCTATGCCATATATAGAAGAAAAGTGTTAACTAATTGAAGTATGGAAGATTCTAGAACAAAATAGAAACACAGTGCTTCAGATTTGTTTTACCCAACGGTCAATTTTCCAAGTTATCCGTACACTATATAATGATATAGACAAATAACTTCACAATGTTAGCTATTCGATGAAGCCAATCCGAAGATAGAGATGGCAAATCCGAGCACTATTGGTTATTGTATATCTTCTTCACTCTACCAGATTCTGCCGCCTGTACTACTATCTTATGGTTGATACACATGACTTAAAAAAAGTACTTCTCCTTTGTTCTAGAATTTTTGTCTTCAATCCTCAGTTTTTCCTTCTAAATAAGTTACCACCATTTTTTTACTTTTATCTACAAACTTTAAATCATAGACACTTCTCTTTGTACTAGACCCTTCCATGCATTTTCTTTAAAAAATACCATTAATATTACCTCATGATTTTTTTTAACTTCAAGGCTATAATAGCGTACATTTGTCTTTGAAGATACAATACTAACTACTCAAAACTGCAATACGAGATAGTACTTCAAAACAATTTTTTGGGGGTTTATTTCACATGAGATCTGTGTTGTATATACCCTATAGTCTTCCGAATATCTGTAACTATAATTAGATTTTCAATGGGATGAACTACGAGAATTAAATATATATCTTATATGTTAGGCATGTAAGACTCCCAACTCACATGTTTGCATGTTATAAGTATGGCAATACACATTCGTACTTCGGTTATCTAAGCTCTCATGTGCAATGCACATGTACCTTGCAGTAAATATCTCTTACGCTCAAGTTTAGAGCAAGATTTATAATTTTTTATATATTTCTGATGCACCAGATTTTTTTTAGAAAAAACATCCTGCGTAGACCTGCAGAGTTTCAAATTCAAATGTCTATTTGTTTGGGAGGAAAAAAGAAGAGAAAGGTATTCACTGGATCTTGCTGCAAAACTGGCCGACTCAGATAAGGTTGTGTAGTTATATGGCTCTGAACTGTGCCTTAGAGCATTTACAACCAGACTCCTCACATTGGCATGCCAACGTAGGACAACTGACCGGATAGGAGAGAGAAGATAAAAGAATGACCATATTGAACCCCTCAAAGTCTCATTAAACGTCCGGACTGTCCGCCACTCCTCATACTCCCATATATGAGGGCAATATGAGAAGTGCCCAAATGTGTCCAGTCACTTACCACATATAGGATTTGGCCCACTGCAGAGCATCTTTCTATAGGAAAAAAGTGAGGAACATGGTTGTGTGCATGGACAAATGAACATGCCCGAACATTGACCGGAGAGCGGACTGAGAGCGGACTCGTCCGTGGGCGTTTGAAGGGCCAAAATTTGTTCAGTCCGTTGTAGACGCCCTTAGCTTTTGGAAAGTACAGGGGAGAGGGAGAGAGGGGAAGCATGAGAGTGTGAGACGGCGGAGACAGAGGTCTGTGCAGAGATTTCGAGGAAGCTTCTTCTTCCCCGGCCTTTTGCCCCAGCGCCCCACAGTAGCTAGCTTTGAGGGCAGCTTCGATTCGGGTCTCAGCCTCGAGGCACGCGAGCACAATTCCCTATGCGGATCGAGCATCTAGCTAGCTGCATGCATGGTGGTTGCCTCACGAGTCACTTTTGATTTTGCTCCAAAGGACGAAGAACCTGCGACTGCGATGTATGGGCGCGTGCCGGAAGCTTCCTTCTTCCGCGGTGCTGCTGCTGTTGCTGCTGTGTGGCAGCACTTGGCCGGTTGGCCCGTCTCTTTTGGCCGGCTAGCTTCTTGGTTCTCTCGGTGAAAAAGCGAAAGTCACTCAGGCCAGAGACTAAAAGCAGAGTTGTCCCGTTTTCTGCTCCGGTGGCGTTTCAAGCCCTCCTGAGCTCTTGACTGGCTCCTTCCTCTCTTGCAGTACACAGGGCACTTCATGGCTTCATGCGTTAGTCGGCGGTTTCATGGCCTAACTTTTCATGCAAATTTCAATGGCCACTAACACAAGCTTTTGTGCAAATTTTTAGAAGGCCATTATCCTTTTCTTCATCAGCTCCCTAGACACTGGTAAGCTATCAACAAAAAATTGCAATCAATGAAAAAAAAATTATCAGCAGTGTGGCGTGCCAAAAATACTAAGCCGGTTTTGGCATGCTTTTGGGATGCCTCTCAGCCGGTTTCTGGAAGATTTCCGGCAAAAAAATGAATGCCGATATCCATCACACGTGTGGCATAAAAGGCATTCGCTCACACGTCGTGTGTGGCATGAGCAGGGGGCAGCCCACACGGGCTGTGTGTGGACGAACAGTAGAATTGCCATACATGTGGGTGCAGCTACTTCGTGCCACACGTCCAACAAGTACTATTCATCTTTATTCCGGGCGTGTGTCACTAAGCAAATATGTTCAGACGTCCTGACGCAGCTACATTAGATACCCGCGGATGACGATTTAGTTGCCATCCGGGATGGCAAATATAGTTGTAAAAGCATGGCAATTCTCTCTGTTTTGGTTAACTATAGTTGTCATGTCTAATTTATGATAGTTGTCGCGTATAATCAAACCATAGTTGTCATGTGTGATTAACTAGTTGCCACATATGGTCAAACAATAGTTGCCATGTGTGTTTACCTAGTTGCCACGTGTGGTTAATCACCGTTGCCATGAATGTTTATCTGATTGCCACGTACGCGCAACTGCAGTTGCTTCTAGCAAACAATTCATAGTTGCCATGTGTGTTTGTCTAGTTGTCATGTACGCGCAACTGCAGTTGCCATCCAACAACGTACGACTGTCGTGTGGGCGAAAAGCAATTCGCCCACACGCGCATGGACTAGGTGGTGGCTGTGTCAGCAGAAACTACTTCGCCCACACAGCGCAGCTGGCAACCGCGTGCTGTGGGGCGTGTGGACGACCTCTCCAACGCCCACACACCGTCCTTGTCCTACGTGGCACGCTAATACTGTCTCGGAGTGTCAAGATTCGTGCAAACTTAACTAGACAGTGATCCAAGTGTGTGGGCGAGTTGCAATGTTGCCACATGCGTGTGGGCGTTAGTGTTTTCAAAAAAAAATCCTGCATTTTTCTTAGTATTTTATTTTTCATATTTGTGGTTTGCTATTTTTAAAATTTAGTGTTTTTTCATTTCATTTTTTTTTCTTTATCCAAATTCATGAATATGTTTTAATTTTAAGAACCTTGTTCATTTTCATTATAATTTTTTGATTTGGTTAATATGTTTTGAATTCATGATGATTTCTTCAACCTCATGA